TATAAAATTTAGTAGGTCACGTGTCAACTTTTAATATTTTATGTTAAAAAAATTGTATTTTAAATTTCTAGGGTGAATCTTAAATAAGTGCAAGTAGTTTTAAGGGTGCTATATTTCTACCCCAAGAACACGTATATGATGTTTTTTCGCAAAAAAAGGAAATTCGTTCATTATCTTTTAAATTTGCCTGTATATTTTAGAAAACTTTTTAGAACTGCCTGTTCACCGCAAATTCCTTCCTGTTACAAATTTACTCACTAAAATGATTTACGGCAATAAAAGGAATATAAAAACTTGAAAAAAGCTTGATTTTCATGCATCCGTTATACGTTAATACGATGCTCCAACGGCGCGGCGCTCTGATTGGTCATAGCCTTTCCACTTTTCATCCGTAATTTTTTTTTCATCCAGCCCGTCAACGGAGAAAAATCGTACGTTAACGGACGTTTTGACACTTTTTTGACAAATTTAATCTAATCTTAATAAAAATATAATAGTACAAAAGCTAGCGCCGCCGGGAAAACGAGAATTTTAAGAAAGCTGGTTCTTTAATATATCCTTTGCTATGCTCTCCTGTGCTCTCCTGACTAAAGTGCGGGCCGTTTGGCTGCCGGTAGATTACTACGGATCACACCTTACAGGGTATCCCATTTTTGTGTGTTTTATGGGATTTCTCGTTTATGAGTAGAGATACAATGATGCGATTTTCATATTACTTTGCTACTTTTTTATGAAACTAAATATGCTACACATAGGTTTGTCCTAGCCTCCTTAGTCCCTAGTAAATACAAGGTGTAAAAATGTGTTGAGGGTGGTATAAATGATTACTCGATTGTTGCCATACTAATGCTAATTTATTCTACCTTCGTATAATATAAATTCATAATGTTCGATGGATTATTGCTATGATTGTAAAATATTAAAACTAGGGTACCTTAATACTAATTATTGTTAATAGCAGAGTTTACTGAATAAGCATTTGATTTGGTTGCACCACATCTTCCCCTTTTCAAATGAATGAAATTCAGGGCAATGAATTTCATTCAAGCAAATTGAGACTGGCCAGTTTCTAGAAAATGTAATTCAACCAATGAAACTCATTATCCTTTAAGTACTCTAAATAGAAATTATTATTAACCCTAAAATAAATTTCAATAAGTGTTATCGTAATAATTAAGTATAATGTAAAATATAAATTAATATACTGGATTCGTTAAATACTTAATGCTAAAATAATGATTATCTATGCAATTTGGTAAATTAAGAATTTATAGACTGTTATACTGTATTAATACAATTATCATTGGCACTGCCTTTATCACTAATATTAATGTCATTGCGCAATGTTAAATTTTTGAACTCTGCCTTTGTGCACCGTGAGCTCTTTACCATTTTCACTTTTCACTGTACAATTAACACCATTTATACTAACTACGGTGAAAGGACCTTTAAACCAAGGATCAAATTTCGTTCTGTTTACGTACTTTAGCATAACCAAGTCGCCTTTTTGTAAACTGAGATTTTGAGATATTACGTCATACCTAATTTTGCGGTTTTACTTTTACTAAAAAATCTCTAGCTCTTTGATGAGAAATTTGCATTCTGTACCAAACTTCTTGATAATATGCATCAATGTTTTACCAGGGGTCTATTTTGTTTAAGTTCAAATGGAGTGTATTCGTGATAAACTCCGGGAGTTGTATTGTAACAAAAAGCGTAAAAATTAATCCATTTATCCCAGTCGGTATGCGTTTCATTAATATAAGATGTTAAGTATTCGTTTAGCACTCTGGGATTCCTCTCACATCCACCAATGCTCTCATGATGGTACGCGGTTGAAAACTTGTGACTAATGTTTAAAATGTTCGACAACTTCTATAAAACTTCATTTCGATATTCGGTACCCATATCTGTTCTAATTTCCTTCATGGGGCCAAATACTAAAATAAAATTTTATACTATTACTTTTGCCACCGTAAGAGCTTCTTTATTTGGAACAGGTGCAATGACCACATATTTGGTTAATTCGCGCTGTATAGTTACAGCGTAAGCATAATTGTTTTCGCTTTTCGTAAATGGGCCAATAGTGTCTATGGAAACAATATCAAACGGTTGTTGTGGAGTTGGCGTAATTATCATGGGTTCAATGTTTTTAATTTTGCTTTTGTTTAGTTGGCATTTCTTGCAATTTTTTACGTAGGTAGCAACATCACGAGACATATTTTCCCAACGGCATTTTGATCTTAACTTCCTCAAAAGTCTCTTTTGTCCACAATGTCCTCCTGTCAGTGGATTATCATGAAATTGTTGTATCAATTTCAATTTTTCTTCTTCCTCTGTAATTACTGTGGGTTCCCTGTATAGAGATATTTTAGTATTTTCTAAAAAATCTTGACCTACTAATTTAAAATCGCTTATCGTTTATGATTTGAATATTTTATCATTTATATTTTCAAGTTTTTCCAGCTTATTTTCACTAGCCATTTTTTGAAGCTGAGGCAACACTTTCTCTAAGAAAAAATTGTCATCAGTGAAATATATCATTGTTGCAGCGCTGAACTTTTTTTTTTCCATAATTGTAAAAATAAAATCGTCACTGTTAGGTGAAGCGTCTTCTTCGGTAAGGTCCACAAAAAATAACTCGCCTTTTATCTTGGGATCAATTTTTCTCAATTTTTCTCATAAAATGGGACGACTTTGTGATGCGCAGTAGTGAACAGATGTTGAATACAGATATGGGGATGCCCAGCAGTAAACGCAACGTTTATCGGCAGTCAGATGCTGTGCACTCTGTTCTAGAGAGCATAGCAAAAGATATATCCTTTCCTAGAACCAACTTTCTTAAAATTCTCACTCGAGAACATTGACTATAGAAAACTTAGACTGTAAGTAAAACAGCGAAATCGTTATGGAAATGAAAATATAAATTGACATCAATCACAAGCAAATCGTATATCCGATGAACGGAGCCATGAAAATGCAATAAATTTAAAAACTGCGTAATTTTCTAACCAATCGAAGTCTTTAAATTCAACCAATAAAATTCATATCGTATCACAGTATCATCGGAAAACGGACGCATTAAAATCAAGCTTAACTGGGATATTTTGAACTGATCTGAAAAACGACGTAGAGGTAATATGTTTTTTTGTCGATATCTACCAGCCCTAAAAAAAAATTGCACTTATTTAAGACACAATAAATAATTATTATACGACAAAATAGGAAACTTGACAAAAATATTCATAAACTTGTCCACAGTGACAAACACATGTTTCATATTTCCATATGTTTCCACAACGACACTCTGCAACAACAAATATTCCACTTTATTTATTATTGTTCAAGAGAGGGATGCGTGTTATCTAGTTAAAGTTCTAAGACGTGGCATAAGATTTCTATGCGAGGGCTAATCCCTTTTTGTGTTAAGTCCATGTCGGACTGAAACATTAATTCAAACCCACGCCCTAATGTTCGAATAATCTTTTAGGACGGGGCATGCCATCTTCGAAATAATTAATTGTCCCTCTTGCAACACGTACGAGATCCCATATTGGAATCCTATAACAAGTTGTTGATAATTTTTGTGGGCGTGACGGGTTTTACTACTACATCTTCCCCCAACCCTTTAAAAATATACTTATATCTACTTAAGAGCTGAGAAGAATTGTATCTCTACACTCTACACTTTATAAGTGGGAACGATAATGATTTGTCTTTATTTATAATGCATATACAGGGTGAGTCTTAAATAAGTGCAAATATTTTTAAGGGTATATAGTATATTTCGATTATGAGGTTTTTCTCTCAAAAAAAATGTCTTGAAAATTGGGAATTTTTTGAAAAAAATGTTGGATTTTTTTTAGTTTTTTGTCATAAAACATAATTTGTTGATGATATGGCAACATAGGTAGTAGATTAAATTTATTTTTGTCTGTTCTGTGCCCTGTGTCCCACGAATGCTGACAAATCTTAGATTTGTGAAAATCTCCCTTTCTTAAATAATCTTTATGTTCTTTAGTTCGAAGGGTCTAGATGTTTCACCAATTTAACATTTTTCGCATTCACATGGTATTTTGTATATTACATTTTTTGTTTGTTGTTCAGTATTCATTGGTTTAGTGTGTGATAAAATGGATCTAAGTATATTTTGTGTTTTAAAAGTCGTTCGTATGTTATATTGTTTTCCTATCCTTCTTATTTTTTCCGAAACGCCTCGTATGTATGAAATTGTAAGTTTTATATATTGTGTATTGTTATCATTGTGTCTATGATTTGAGGTTTGTATTTTGTTTAATATTTCGTCAATAAAAGATAGTTCTCGAATAGTTGCTGACAATAACTGCTGACAAGTAGTTTCCGCTGGATTAACACAGCAGTGTTTATAAAAAAATAACTATTTTATTTTGTAGATTTTCTTGCAGTGGCGAAATACCCATATAGGATTTAATTAATAAGGTGAGTTTTGTTGATCTACATAATAACTGTTTATATATTTATAATTAATTTATTTTTGTTTCCTAAAATACTTTGATTAAAAGAAAATATGTAAAAGTACTAAAAGTGGGCAACGCTGTGTCGGCCAAGCTTAATCACGTGACTAAAATTTATTTGATATATGGAGTGTATTGTATGTTGACAGCAATGAGAATAATAACAACACTCATGTCGAGGCAGTTGTATTAAAAAAACACACAAGACAGAGAACGACGAAAGAAATTAATCAAAAATGTTGAAACCAGAGCAATAAGTTTTGATTGCTTTAGTTTAAACCTTTTTGTTTGTTTTCTTCTATGTTCTTGTCAAGCTTCACAGGAGATATACGTGAAAATGACAACGTTGTAGCTTGCTTAATTTAGGCGCACCTAAAACTAAGTTTGAATCTTCTAATAATGCTAACATGATTAGCGAAACGCGCGTTCAGGGTTGAAAATGAAATGTTTTGCTGTATTGTTATGAATAAGTGTTGGAAACAACCCCCAATTGTAATGTATTTTTACCATTAAATCCGCCGATTGCAAATATCATGTCATCAATGACTTCTATGGCAAAATTACTTCTGGGATTGTACATGTCAGGTATAGCAGTCCATGTGTTGGTTTGAGGATTATACTTCTCTCCACTACACATCCTGTTGGGCAACATTTTAATATTAATGTACTTTAATTTTTAGTTTATTTCTTGAGACGGCAAATAATGAGTACCCTAGATATTTTAACTAACTACCTAGAGATTCCGTTAAATCCTCCAATTACGTAGACTTGTTCGTGGTAGGCAATGCAGGACACTCCAGATCTGCGCGATCTCATCGGCGCTATTAGAGACCACTGATTCAGTTCTGGATCGTATACCTCCGCGGAATGCATACATTCCTGACCATTAAATCCACCAGTAATGTATATCTTTCCTGAAATAAAAAGTCATACTAAGTGTGTAAAAAATTATACTTTACTTGTTGCATAGTCTAGTTAGGAAATACTAAATACATTTTCAACATGGTTAAGCCCATGACAGATAAAAGTCTCCCATTTTATTTTTCTTTATAGAACTCACTAAAATAAAGCAAAGACTCCAATTTGATCTGTTCCTACAAGGCACTTTTTTAATTATACAAAATTAAAAATTACCATAAACTAGCCAAAAAGAAAATCTGGATATTGAGAAACAAACATAAGTATTACTCAAGTCATTTTATGACAAATATCATATTGTTACGGATTCCGTGTGTCCACTAATTTAAACTTACGATAAAATACTTAACGAATTTATTTGTCTCACTCTGTATACACAACTTATACTATTTACAACACAATTTATGCAACTACTATTACTCTAACAGTACTGGCACCTTCGCCAATTAATTCACAATTTAAAACGCAGTATTATCAAACTTCAAACTGCCAACTGCCAAAGCGCGGGCCTTTATATACCCCCTGGCGAGTCTTTCTGGAACGTTCTAAAGAATTCTGTAATTTTCTTTTACTTTCTGGCGAATTCGCCAGGTCCCTCAATGCACGTTGCGGTTATGTAGCAGTATTGCAGTTATGCAACCAGTAATACAGTTTAGCGCTACATACCCTTGACAATATTATGGATTTCTTCTTCTACAGCTCTATAAAAAACTCGCAAATGGTATTCTGTATAAAAAGTTATAAAATGCCCACTGTAAAAACATTTAAGATTTATTTTTTCATAATAAAAAGTGTAAGATTTCATGTTTCCTAAAAGAAAATAAATTGTAGAACTAATACAAATGATAAAATGTAAAGAGACTGTAAATAAATTAATTTCATGATTTCGCTAATACCAATCGATGCATTGTAACATTTAAACGTAAATATCTTGAAAACCGTTCATCGTTTCGAACTAAACGAAGAGCACCTTTTTACGTAGAAAAGTCCTAGCTTTTCATGTCCTTTATTGAAATTACTGTATCTATAAGGATAAAAGAAGTACCACCAGTAGTACTCTCTACCCTGTTGGAAAGTACCCTTTGAAAGCTGTTACGGAATTTTACACTATAGCTATTCGCTTTGACATTAAAATATGTGTAAGAGTACCAAATTTCAAGAAAAACGGTTTACCAGTGTTCTTAAAAATAAACAAAATATATTATTTTTATATGCTTTTTCGAGGGTTGTAAGTTCTTAGGGAAGTGGAAACTTTTTGTTATATTTTTATCTGCAGAATCACCAATTGATGTTAGATTCACTATTATTTTGACATCCTGTATTTAAAACAAATTAAACTAAAAAATGTTTACGATTTTCTCTTATAAACTTCGTGGATATGTAAATTCGTTTCATTTTTTTAAAGACCCATGAGAGACATTCGACTATCTGATTATCTTTGTCTTTGCCACTGACTAACCAATCGGCTGTCTTTCTTTTGTATATATGTCATTTTTATGTCATAAAATAGAATATATAAATATATAAATTAGAGAAAATAAATATTGTTTTATAAATATAAAGAGTAAAACACGTCCATATAAGAAAATAATAATAATAACGTACCGTTAAGTGTACAAGCACTAGCGTCTGACCTCTGCATGTTCATGGGAGCGATAAGAGTCCACTGGTTGGCTTTATGGTCATACTTCTCAGCGGTGTTTTGTCTATGATGTCCGTCGTAGCCTCCCATCGCATAAATTTGGTCATCCAGAACTGCCGTACTCACATAACATCTTTTTGAGTGCATAGGAGCTACTTCTTTCCAAGCCTTAGTTACTGCATTGAAACATCGACAAGAATTGAAGTAATCCATACCTATTTTAATACAGTAAAATAAGAAAATATTTAGATCCCATTATAATTTAAAATATAATTGTTTTTGTGAAACTGGTGTTATATTATGCTGTTTTAAAGTCAAAGGTTTTAATTCCAACTGTAGTATTCCAGTGTAATTGACTGTAGTCGGATTTGTATTTGTACTGTGTTGAATGTGATCCTAGCAACCAGTTACATTACACAACTAAACTTATGGAATCACTCTTTTTTCTGGAAATTTCTTGGAAGGAAAAAAATCGGTATACAACTTTAAGATAAGGCTTTTTGTTGTAAATAAACAAGATAATAAAGAATAAACGACTTCTGCCATTTATTTTCTTTTATATTTTGTGTTAAGTAGTGAAATCACGATTGTCCGGTAATTTTCATTGGATCCAAAAAATGTAAAAAAATGCCTTGTGTTGGATTAACAGATGTACAGAGGGAAAGAATTATCGCTCTCATTGAACAAGGAATGCCCCAAAGAGACGTAGCAGAGATAGTAGGCGTTACCCAGGGTATTGTATCGAAAACATATGCAAGGTACTTGGAACTAGAAACACAGAAGAACAGGCCCAGACAAAGTCGTCAAAGAATCACAACTGAACAACAAGACCGTTTTGTGTGCCAAATTGCTAGAAGAAATTCGAATGTTTCTCGTCCAGAGCTAAAAAGACAACTTCTAGCAGCTACAGGTATGTACGTTTCAGTTGAAACTATAAGAAAAAGGCTTCGTACTCGAGGGTTGTACAGCAAAAGGGAGTTACGGATCCCACAGTTATCTCGGCAAAATAAAATTGACCGGCTAAATTGATGTCTTCAACTGGACTTCAATTGATGTCTTCACTGGACAACTGAAAATTGGCAAAATGTTCTTTTTTCGGATGAGACCAGAATTTAATTGTTTTTAACTCGGGTTCTAAGAGCTCCAGGAAGACGAGCGAGACTCCACGTTGCCAAATCTGTACCAAGATATAAAGGAGGAACAGTAATGTTCTGTGGAGGTATTATTCTGGAAGCAAAAATTCCATTATTACCACTTCAACAAACTCACGGGTGAGAGGTATGTTGATTTAGTGCTAGAACCAATCGTTAGTCTTTGGAGAGCTGCAATTGGAGATAATCTTAACTTCATGCACGATAGTTGGAGACTCTCCATAGTATGGGACCTCCCTATAGCAGCAGAGTGACTACAGAATGTCTTGAAATGGGAGATGTCATAGTTTTGGACTGGTCTGCATGTTCACCAGATCTAAACCCTATCGAAAACTTGTGGGACCAGCTCAAAAGAAGAGTTAGAGCTCGTCGAAACAATCCAGGAAATCTTGCATAGCTTATTGATGCAGCATTAGCAGAATGGGAAAACATACCCCAAGACAAAGTTGATAAATTAATTAGAAGCATGCCAGCGCGGATAGAATCTTGCATAAGGGTTAAGGTAGCAACAAGGGTTATTAAAACATTTGTTTTAATTTTTTTTAAACAATCATTTTAATAATCAATTATTCTCAGCATAGTTTAGAGCGTGTTTATTAATTTACAGTAATAGAAAAAATATAATCTCAATCTAGAAACGACTTACCATCGAATCCACCGATGACGTAAATATTAAACCCGACCACCGCTGTACCGTGGTAGGCTCTGGGTCCGGTAGCGTCCACTTCCTCCACCTTGACCCACCTGTCCGCCCTGGTGTCGTAGGTCTCGATGAAGTTCGTTGGTGAGCCTCCGCTCCAACCGCCGATGGCAAACAGGATCTCGTGGGGCACTCTGGGCCGGGCGATTTCGGGCGTCACCACCTCGCCGTCCCTGGTAGACCAAATTAATAAGAATTGGGAGGCGGAGGAGAGGGTGGCGGCAAAGTCCCGACTGAAAGGACACGTATTGACAGGCTGGGGTCAATTTATCGAAACAAATACTTTGTTTAAATTCTTTTCAGAAAATAAATATCCAAACAAGCTTTTAGAATGCAGACCAAAAAGTATTTCCACATTTCAGATTCGTTATTATTCATTAATTTAGAGGTTTAAGGTCGCCCCCCCCCAACCGATACGTTATTAAAATTAGAGATGAACAAAACTGCGATTCTCCAATTGCAATTGAAACTGTGATTGCGATTTTACATACATACTTACTGCCATTACTAGCTGACAAGTATTTGACACGCATCAAAAGATGGTCAGGCAAGGCGTTTTCTTTCATGAACTTTTCTGTGACTGAAAAGCCCGGTACGTGATGTTATCTGCCACCGCACTCCGGACATTCAAAAAGTTTATTGCTTTGTTGCCTCTTTAACATACTATTTGGTTGTCGCTATTAACTGATTTTACAATTCTTCTCCATTAAGTTCTATTGTGAGTTGCTTCTTCCCACTCATTCTGCATGTTAATCCCCTTTAAGTTTTCGTGGAAAATGTCCTTGTATCTTTTGAGTTGTCCACCCGGCCTCCTCTTACCGTCTACAAGCTCCCCGTAAAGCAGAGATTTTGGTATGCGGTTTTCTTGCATTCTGCACACGTGACCAGCCCATCTTAAGCGGGACTTTGTAACCATGATTTCAATACTCTCGCGGTTAGCTTTTTCAAGGACCGATACGTTTGAGACATGATCGGATTCATAAGAGTTGCTTAAGGTGTCTATGTTGCAACTTGTTGCGTTCATGTGTCGGCGCGGCGGGGCACGGCACCCAGATTTAGCTCCCATATAACATGGTGGGGATTATAATTGCTCGGTACACTGCAAGTTTCGTTTTTGTACTCAAGTCATGATTGTATAAAACCCTGTCTTTTAATTTCCAGAATGCTTTTGAGGCGCTGCTAATCCTCTGCTGAATTTCAGAGGATTTTTTTGGAGAGATTAATCCGCCACATAGGTATAGACAATTCTTATAACTCATATATAGATAATAGTATTATATTTTTTAATTCTGTTTTAATTTGTATGTATTAGCTGTGTACTGTAAAATTAAAATAATTAATTTATATTTATTTTTAAAACGCAATTCCCTATTACGGACATTAACTAAAATATGCATTAAATCGACTAAAAAAATGAAAAGCAATTAAAATTTAATGGTACAGATTTTAAATGTATTTAAATGTATGCATTTAAATTAAATGAATAAATCCGTATTTGCTACCATATTGGCTGCTAATACAAAAATTTGAGAGTAAGTCTAATTACATTTTGTTAATCAATTTCATAATATATAGTATCTATATCCTGTGAAGGATTATAATTTTCAAATCAAAATATTACAAGTCAAATTGTATGGTGTTGGTAATTGGTTTTGAAATTATTGCAACACCATTACTACAATTTAGCCATTATTACAACATTCTTCTTCTTCTTAGGCCGCCGTCTCCCTTCGGATGTTGGCGATCCAACTGGCTATAATGGTGCGTGAAACGTGAAAGCGCACCTCTGAAAATTTCGATCGATGTTCTTCCGAACCAACGACGCAGATCCTTAAGCCAGGAGTTTTGCCTTCTTTCCACTGATCTCCTGCCCTCAATTTTGCCCTCGATGACCAATCTGAGCACCTCGTATCGATCACCCCTCATGATGTGACTGTTGATAGGAGCTCTTTATCTTTGCCCATCCGCCTGAGTACCTCCTCATTTGTCACTCTATCCATCCAGGATATACGCAGCATACGACGATACAAGTACAGGGTGGGTCAAATTCAACGCTTTTAAATGGAAACACCCTTTTCTATAGGAGATAGACAAACACTAATATCGGTGTCTGGAGCTCAATTTTTGTCAAAAACATGATGATGAAAACCCCATATCGATATCTGTTACCGTTTCGGAGTAACGGGGTGTTTTTCAAAAATATGTATTTTTAACTTTTGTATTTTTATGAAAACATTTCCAAAGCACCTTTTTACGTAGAATTTAATGGTTTAAGTATATTTTTTTTAAATTAATAATTTAAGAATTATCAACAGAAAATTAGATTTTTTATATTTAACACCCTGTATATTTTAAATTTATTGAAAATAATTTAAAATTACCTTTCCAAAAATATAACACACTTGATATTTTGCTCGATTCCTCTTCGAAATATAGAGTATATAAAAATTCGTCCGCTTTAAATAAGTAGGTTTTGAACGGCACCGGCTGTAATGCAAAAAAAATTTTATCTGTGAGCATCAATTAAAACGAAAATAATATTTGCTATGAGAGATGCAGAATTTTATAACAATTTAAAAAATATTTAACCAACATCAACACATTTAAACTATATCTAATAACAATAAAAATAAATAGCAAACCAAGACATGAGATTTTGCTACAGGTGTTCGACATATCAACCGTCTTCTGTTATGGACAAACGGGGCAGTTTTTAAACCTTTCTCTCGGAATCATTAACTCAGTGGGAGTGAAAGATACCTTCTCATAACTGCTAAGTATTTCTAATTCTTGTCTAGATTATGCGGAAGAATAAGGAACCTTTATTCTTCCGCAAATATATCCACAGGATTAGATCCATGGGCACTAAGTCAGGCGGCCTCGACGGCCAACGGCTGGGATCCTAGTTAGCTGTTCAATTATTCTTGAAATTGGCTGCAAAAATTTTCTGATAACTTCAGCGTTCAGAGGCGGTGCGTCGTCTTGCTGGAAAAATATGTTTTCGAGTTCCATTAAGGGCATATCATCAATAAGGGGTCCAAAGCCTACTAGTTAAAAGTGGGGAACTTTTAAAAATTCTGTATTTCGAAGGGAATTATAACAAACTATCAAGTGTGCTATATTTTTGGAAAGTTAATTTTATTTTTTTTTTCAGTTAATTAAAAATATAGAGGGTGTCCCAAATAAAAAAACCATTTTTCTGTTGACAACTCTTAAATTATTAATTTTAAAAAAATTATACTTAAACAATTAAATTCTACGTAAAAAGGTGCTTTGGAAATGTTTTCATAGAAATACAAAATTTTCCATAGCAAAAAAGTTACAGCAATCTCTTAAAAATGCACATTTTTGAAAATCACCCCGTAACTCATAAACGGTAACAGATATCGATGTGCGGTTTTCACCATCATGTTTTTTACAAAAATTGAGCTCCAGACACCGATATTAGTTTTTGTCTATCTCCTATAGAAAAGGGTGTTTCCATTTTAAAGCGTCGAATTTGACCCACCCTGTACATCTCAAATACGTTAATGCGGTTTTCCAATGTCTGATTGAGTATCCAACTCTCAGAGCCGTAGAGAAATACTGGAAAGGTGTAACAACGCAGCATACGTATGCGCAGTTCGAGGCTTAAATCTCGGCTGGAGAAGAGGGTTTTCATGGAAGCAAAAGTACGTCTGACCTGTTCGATCTTCGCTAAAATTCCAGTTTTGGGGTCGCAAGCGTCGTTAACTAGGGCTCCTAGATACTTTATGGACGATATTTGTTCTACCACCTTGTTGTTAATTCTGAGGACAATCTTTCCCGGTGTTTTGGAAAATACAACAAGTTTAGTTTTGTTAACATTGATGTATAATCCGTACTGCATGCTATGTTCAACGATGCAGTCCATCATGTTCTGAATGTGTAGAATGTTGTCCGCCAGTACGACCGTATCATCTGCGAAGCGAATATTGTTTATCAGGGTACCATTGATTTTGATACCATCCTCAACGCTCTCTAGTGCCTCACGGAATACCGCCTCGGAGTAGATGTTGAAAAGGAGGGGGGATAATACACACCCCCGCCATTACATCATTACTAAAATCAAAACCTGGGTGCCGTACCACCGGCACATGAACGCATTAAACAAGTTGCAACAGGGACATCTTGGACAACTACACCATGTCTCAAACGTATCGGTCCTTGAAAAAGCTAGCTGCCAGAGCGTTGAAGTCATGATTACTAAATCCAGGGGCGGCTCGTAGCACTGGAAGATGGTGAGGCACATTAGAAGAGAATTTTTATTAGTATGTATATAAGGGTGGCCATTAGTACGAGGAAGTTCTATATAAAAAAAGTACATATCCTAAAAAATATTTTCTTTAAAATTGCAATCGCATTACCATTTTTCTGTACAGAATTGGGTTCAGCATAAAATTCAGCATACATCACACTATTGATTTATTTGAAGCACTATATATGTGGGATTTCCATGATAATTCATATTTGAAAAATTTCATTTTTTAAAAAGTGGTAAAAACCTGGAATGAATTTAACTTGATATATTATTGCTTAAGTATGTATATAGCGAGATATGTAGGATAAAAGAAGAAATCCGAGAAAAATTCACATTCACAGGGATTTTTTTATGGCGTGGCCAACATTGCAATATTATAATGCTATATCTCGTTTTTTTAAATGCAATACACACTGTATATTACTTTTAGTATTTTAGATACCTACAGACTTGAAAAGCGCACATTTTTGTATTTAATAATATAAATATTTCTAAATTTTTAGCAGTTGCGGAAATAGCCTTATGTAATATAATTCGCAGTATTATACCTATTACATTGGGCTATTGCAACAGTAAATTTTTATCAAAGCGACCTCAGGATATTTTATCTTATATTTTACTCTGTATGGTAAAATTTTGTTTTTCTACCCATCCTATAAAAATAAAACAAAATGAAATCTTTAACAGGTCGCTTAACTTTTTGACTATACACAATTTATCTAGAAATGATTCGAAAAACTTTACCTGGGGAAGTCCTCTGATGATGCATGGTCCCTCTAAATCATCATATCAATCAACAATAAGTCACTGTCCACTTTTTAGGTATTTACTTAATATCGTCCTATTGCTGCCAAAAGTCACTAACTAACATTTTTCCGAACAACCAAATTCAATCACTATGTTTTGAAGTGGAGAATCGATTGCAAAAGTCATTAACTACGATTTCTGGCTATT